GGTGACGAGCAATGCGTTTTATATGAGGATGATGTTGAAATTTCTCCTTCAACTTCTGGTTATAATCTTTGGCTGCTTTTTCTCGTGATGTAAGCTGGAAAAATGCATTTTGATATTTCAATGAATGGTTTGTTCTTTTTCTTCATATAACAAAGCTAGGAAGCACCGTTTGTCCCAAAAACTAAACTTCTAGGACATGCAACCAAAATTGCCAACGTAATTCTACCCTTTACAAGGTTATGTGAGTCATATCTCTGCAAACACTGAATTTCCTTTTAGGCTGTATGCCCCCATGTAGATAGATGCCACCAAGTTAAAATATCAGTGCTGAGGGAGTAGGGCTATGTGGACCACTGAATCGCACCTTCTCTGGGCATAACTAACAGAGAAAAAGCTCCTAAAATAATCCCTCAACATTTTTCCATAAAAATAACTACTCAAACTGAAAACAAAAAGTGTTCAATTCTGTAATGACAAGGTCTTGTTTAACAAATGTTAAAGATGATATGATTTAGAGGAACTTGTAATGATGAACTGAAACCTAGGCATAGTGTAATACTTACCAATCATTAAGCCTAAAATAAAATTGTCTTTAATTACTGTTTATCATATCTTGATTTTCTTACTGGGGCTAAGTAGAAAATAACTCACATTTAACCTTTCCTTTTTAAACTCAGTATTTGTTGCTGATATAAACACTCATATTTGATATGTCTCATGTTTCTGCTATGTTTTTGATGTTTTTCTAAATGTCTCATATTTCTGCTATGAAACATGAGACATTTAGGATAACACCAAAAGAAAAACCAACCATAACCCCAACCCAGACGTAGCCAGCCAATGATAATATGTGTTATTATATCTTCACTGAATCTTTTTTATACCCCTAAGCTTTCTGTAATTTTTTTTTAAGTTAGTGTTCCACAGTTTTTGAAATTAAAAGACCTCCCAGGCACTTGCAGCCTTTGATGTGCCGGATTACTATTCCTTTAACAGAAGAAACAGGTATTCTCAGTTCTAACCTTCTAGTCTCTACACCTTCTCTCCTTATCTCAAGAAAAACACAAAGAATCAAGAAGGCTCAAATATTATCAAACATTTTAATTAACAAAGGCCCCTGAAGGTGCCTGTGACATGAAAAAAGCAAATCTCAATACAGATTTGTCTATTTTGTTGCTAACTTATTTCTTTTTATCACAACTATGCCAGTTTAATCAAAATACTTAAAGAACTTCAAATAAATTCTTTACAATATAATAATACCCACTAAATTAGAAACTAGTTTTATGATAATGAAAGAAAACGAGTTCTCTTACCACACCCAATTTTTCAGAAGCATTAGCTTTCCATAGACGAATGTTCATTTCATCAGATCCACACATAATATATTTGCTGTCAGAAGTCCATTTTACACAGATAACATGTTGCATTCTCTTTGTGTGATAGACTTCCCTAAAGAAGAGGAATTAAGTTAAAATTAGGATTTTGATACAGATTTTCTTTAACCATTGCCCATCAAGTATCAGGATAGCACTTCTGAGTCTGAAGAGAGTATAAAAGGGAAATTCAAATTAATTTTAACATATTTTTATTGAACCAAACTAACAAGGTTCTATGCTAAACCCTGGGGACTTAAAAAAATTCCTGACCTCAGAGAAACTACAATTCAATAAGAAAAATAAACAAACTAAGCAAAACCAGATGCCCAGGATAAAGTTCACAAAATTACTGAAGGCATATAACACAAATAAAATATGTTTAAGCTAGAGTAATTTTTTTTTTTAAAGATTTTATTTATTTATTTGAGAGAGAGAGAATGAGAGACAGGGAGCATGAGAAGGAGGAAGGTCAGAGGGAGAAGCAGACTCCCTGCTGAGCAGGGAGCCCGATGCGGGAATCGATCCCGGGACTCCAGGATCATGACCTGAGCCGAAGGCAGTCGCTTAACCAACTGAGCCACCCAGGCGCCCAAGCTAGAGTAATTTTTTAACAATAAGAAATAGGTTGTCTCCTCCCTCCAAATCAATACAGGTCAATAACCACTTTTTTTTTTTTCATTTTACTGGAGAATAAAATAAATGTAATAGCATTCAAAGAGCACATCCTGATATGTTGATCCTACTGTCTGATTTTTGTTTCAGTCAAACTGTTTTAAAAAGCTTGCTTAATTAAAGTGAGAGTTGATGATTTACATGTGTGAACAGAAAGGGAAGGCTATAGAAGTATCTGATGAGTTAAGAATCATTTTATAAATGGAAATGTAAAATATCGTACCTATTTGGAAAGGCTGTGAAACATGTTAAGTGAATTCACAGAAGATACTATATTGGGAAAGTGTTAAGAAGAGCATTAAAAAACAAGTAAAAGACGGGGTCAGGAAAAATAGAGACTTGGAGAAATGAACTTTCCATATCTGGGTTAGATGATTCAAAATGTAGACTCGAGAGAAAGGAAACGAGCCTGGCCACTCTGCACAGTAAAAGAAAACCCACACATGATGACCAGATCAAAAAGAATTTGGATTTATAAAAAATATCTGAGATACACTCACGGAACTAGTCTTTTACACTGTTTCTAACGGATATGTTTCGAGCTCTTGAGTGAATACGTAGAGAAACCCTAAGAAATGTATTTCTAAAAGGTGAAGGATGGTTAGAAAGAACATCAACTATTAAAATAAAAACATGATAGACTGCATTTTTCCCCCTCTCAATTCTCTGCTTTTACAAGATTCATTTCTCATAATCTCTACCTATTTAAGCGGCCCTTCTTTTCTTTAGCAATATAATGTATGTATGTATGTATGTATGTATGTATGTATTTAAAAAGATTTTATTTGTCAGAGAGAGAGAAAGAGAGAGAACACAAGCAGGGGGAACAGCAGGCAGGGGGAGAAGCAGGCTCCTCACAAAGCAAGGAGCCTGATGCAAGACTTGATCAGAGGACCCTGGGATCATGACCTAGGCCAAAGGCAAACCCTTAACCAACTTAGCCACCCAGGTATCCCATAATGAATTTAAATGACAGGAAATTCGGGGTGCCTGGATGGCTCTGTTGGTTAAGTGTCTGCCTTTGGCTCAGGTCATAATCTCAGGGTCCCGGGATGGAATCCTGTGGCGGATTCCCTGCTCAGTGGGTAGCCTACTTTTCCCTCTCCCTCTGCAGCTCCCCCTGCTTGTGCTTGCTTGCATGCTCTCTCAAATACATAAAATCTTAAAAAAAAAAAAGCCAAATGATAGGAAATTCATCAGGCTTTAACCATTAAAAATAATCTGTTGATATATGAAACCAGTCAAATCCAATGGTTAGTTCCTTAACCAAAATAGAGCCTCCTTAATGGTAAACTATGCAGAGTTCTTAACTTCTAGATATGTTTATACGCGTTAAAGATTTACAAAAGCGGGGCACCTGGGTGGCTCAGTCGGTTGAGCGGCTGCCTTCGGCTCAGGTCATGATCCCAGGGTC